AAATCAAATTCTGCATTCATCGAGTGGCGTTGTACCTGGTGTCAATGGGTAAACTTTCAGGTTCATGCCTTTGGCTATGCGTGGGAAGTGTCGTCTCCATGCTGCAGAACAAGCTACACGACACGATATGAAGTTGGCCTGTATCAAAAAACAAAGATAAAAGGATTAGTTTATCCAACTGAATTGGTAGAGCAAGGAATGATCTTACCTTACTGATCAAACCATTCATTCGATTCGCCTGCTTTCGTGAAGCAGTAGTGTGGTACTTACTAGCCACAGAATTATCAGGCAGAGTATCGGCTAAACTCTCCACTTGGTCCTCATTAATATCATCTTCTGTGTTAAAGTCAGGAGGTACTTCTAGATCATCTTCGCCCTCAGAGTCGTGATCAGTATCGACTTCGTCAGGAGCTGGGTGGTCATCCTCAAGATCGATCAAGATAGGTGTCGATGTGCTACTCTCGTCTTCATCCTCCTCGGCGATGACCGGGAGTGTTCCTGAGAATGGAAACACTCCAAGGAAATCTTCTCGCTCTTAATTCCACGATGGAGTGGCTCGACCGAGTTCCTCCAATCCTCCTTTAACAGTTGAAGACAATTTGTGCAAAAAGCACCGCGCGTAGTCAGTATTAGGATTCCATGTGTATGCTTCATCTTGAGGTGACATGATTGCTTCTGATGTTTCTTCGGAATCAAGTTTTTCTTCCTTGTGCAAAGAGAAAAGGGTGTGCATTTCATTCGCCATAGTAATATTGTTTGAACCAGAGTCTGTGACCTGGGCAAGCATGTGGTTTTTTTAAATAAAATTAGGTAAGTAATGAATGAGCAAAACGAAGAAGACAAAAATAATTGCCAACTTATCTTATATTGAAGTCAATGTTTTTTCATAAAGTGCACTAAGGGCTGTGCAAGCCATACCCCTTTATGATGCCAAGCTATCAGTTTCAACGTTAGGTGTCGAACCTGGTATTGCCAATCCTTGTCGATGAAGGTTACCGCCGCTCCTAAAAATGCATGTATGTTGTTATGTGTTGTCCATCCATCGTGGATCAGTGTAAATTTACCAGTGTTGTTCTGTAGTAGGACACCATACATTGATTTCAGCTTGTATAACTATAACTTATA